ACAAAGAATTAATTGTGCAATCGTCCTCCACTCGTCATCAGCGTGAGAGTTTACAAAAGTCACCTCTTAACTTTTGAAAGTTATTCCTCTTCCAACAATGTTCTTTAGTTTATGAAATGTGGCCAGCCACCTTACTTAATGACCTGGTCGTCAGCAGTTTTAGGAAGATTATTGCCTTTGTATTTCGCACGGCACATTTGCGTATAACCAAAACAATCTAAAAAGAAACCACAAATTGTAAAATCCTGACCACGTAATTTTTAAGTTAATAGGAAACATGAAACCTTTGCGTTTAGTGAAGTAACTTTCCAGGTGTCCCTGTTTTTCTAATAAACAGTTACTGTTTATTAAAAAAAAAATCAATATATAAAAAGACAGTATTGTATTGAATGAAAAGCTCCAAAACAGATAAGTTCTGTTCTTTCCCTGTACGCGCGCTAAGGGCCCGTTCCTGCTTTTTGGCTTACAAAGCTTCCACTGACAGGAGCCCCACAGGGCAAGTCCGTTTCGTAAAGGCACAGGGAACAGGTAAGTGTAAGCTGGGTTAAACTGTAGTGTCTGATGATCCCAGCAGCTTTCAAAACTAAGAGGTAATAATGAAATAAAAACTATTTTGGAATGAATAAAAAATGAAAAGCTTTTCAGGCTAAAATACAAAGCCCTAATTGGGATGATTTTGACAAACATGTCAGTCCTGAAAATTAAAGGTAGAACGTGGGAGCTGGATTACCTGTGCAGAAGGGTAGGCAATTACTGAATTCTGGTGATACTGCTCTTTTTCCAGCTTTGTAAAGCACACGCAGTTTGGCTCTGTCATTGCTGACAATTTTTCATTGCCTCTTCTGTGCGTTGTTCACTTTAGCAAGGTAGGAAAGGCACCTGTTTAGGGTCTAGTTTGCAGGACTTTCATGGAAAAAAAACCCAAACAAAAACCCCCAAGCTTAAATGTGCAGGGCAGAGATTTTAGAAATAAGATCAGGTATATCATGATATATGTCATGATGTATATGTTCCAGGTATTTTCCATTTACAGAATGGAAAGTTGCTGTTTATGAATGTCGATATGTATTCAAAGGACTTGGCCAGCAGGTAGGTGTCCCTTCCCAGGGCGAACTGGAGGGGCTCAGGCATGTGGGGTGGGCCTTCTGCAGCTGCTGGGGATTTAGCTCAAGTGGCCGGGGCTTTTGGAATGGAGAAGCCAAAGCCCGGTCTCTGCTGCTGCGGCTGGGAAGTTCTGCCTGGCAAAAACATCACCATGGTGATGCCAGAAAGCTTTAGGGAATCGAGCTTCGTTGCAGTGCAGAGGCAAAACAGACCAGCACCCGGGTAAGCCTGACGCCCTGTGTCACACTAAATGGGTCAGAAGAGAAGCAAACGGGTCGTCTCGGATGAGAACAAACCCAAGATTTATTTTATTCCTTTTGTTTTTTTCCTAGCTGGTCTGACAGACTCTGAGGAAACGCTGCCAAATCAGAAGGAATCTCGGCAACTTTCAAAATCTAGTCGGACTGGTTTGCCGTCAGCCTGGCTGGATCTCTGGCCGCTTCTGTGGAGGGCTCCTCTGGAACTTGGGACCTCCAGCACCTCCAGCTGTGTGAGCAGCCTGGCTGGCCGGGCACTGAACACATGGGGATTCCCCAGTGGGGCATCCCTAAAGCTCCAGGATTTGTGAAAGACACTGCAAAGTTGTTTGTGTTGGTTTGTTGGTTTGGTTTTTTTTTTTCCCTCCAAATTGGAATAAACTTGCAAGAATCAAAGCACTTTGCGATCTGGCAGGGCTGTGTCTGTGGGGGTCACCTGGGAGATGGTGGGAAGTTTCCCACAGAAGGAGGGTGTTGAGGAGCACCATCCCCATGGCTGCTCCCAAGCCCCCGAGGCAAGTGGTGGGCAGCGCACGTACAGCAGCGAAGCGTTACAGGGCCGTAGGTGCCGCGTTGAGGGATTTCTCCATGGTTTCAGCTGTAGCTTTTGGAGGAAATAATTTAATAACCCTGTTCTTTAGAAGTATTTGTGGTTGAGGTACCTCGTGTAACAGAGCTGGTTCCTCAGCTGGTTAGCAGCGGAGCTGTGAGATGTAACAGCTCGAGGAACTGTCCCCTTGGTTCCGTACAGGTGTGGTGCAGAAGGGAAACCAGCTGAGCCTACACGTTGAGCTTGCTTGTTTATTTGAGTAATCTTGGAAACGCTGCCATTCCTGATGCTGCAGCTGTGTTTTTGAGGTCAGCGGGAGCAGGACATTGACATGTACAGCCGTAAAAGCACAATGTTGCGGCAGAGATGTTTAATCTGGCCTTGCAGGAATTCGTAGATTTAAGTGGAAGGCACCATTAACTCTTGCACCAGGAGGATGCAGCCTCGGTTGTGCCTGCAGTGCTGCGCCTACCCACGCACTTTGAAAGAACGGAGAGTAAGTTTACTTTCAGAGTCTGTGTGCGTACACGCACCTGTAAATAATGTGTTTTCTTAGCTCCTTCATCTCTTGGAGGATCTCTTAGTTGCTGGTACCCACAGCAGCACTGGGT